TTTATTCTAGATTTCTGATTTCCGGTGTGATGTATGAAAATCAGTGGACACAGTAATTTGAAAAGCGCGATAATTTCTGAGAAAGGGCATTGTTAAAACCATACGTAAATTTACTACTTCAAGGGATTTCGCAATTTGAATTTATGTTTTTACGATTTACAATCGCTAATTAATGATACCCCTTAATAAGTTTACTTGCACTATTTTTGTAATTAGACCAAGATGACTTTGGTAACCTAGTAACAATTTTAATTTCTATTTAAGGTTTGTCAAATAATTGATTTAATTTATTTTTAGGTTTAGATTTTATAGTTATTAATATTCCATAATAATTTTCGCAAAATTTAATTCTCTCAGTCTAATATTATAGCTTTACAAGCAAAGTTACAAAGCCATTCCCTTTTAAACATGAACTTAAATTTAATTTAAAAGTGACTAAATATAGTTTCTATAGTTTCGTAATTTGGTTTTTCGAATATTGCACACGTATGTTTTAGCCAAATCAATAATTTCTCTGTGGAAATAGTATGGTCCAAATATTGCACTAAATTGGGCGATTCCTAAGTACAATTAATTTAGCAGGTGTGGACGATCCAATCTTGTAAATAGAACTATTGTGTGTTTTCTTATAAAAAAGGTCGGTTTTAGTCCTCATGTACGCTTATCAAGTAAAACACTTTTATACACAAATTGAACCAAAAACATGAAGAAATTGTTTGTATACTTTCTGGTTGCGTGTCTTCTGGCTTCTTTAGTTGTGGCAGTTCCGCAAGCAAGACAATCCAGTAACAGCATTATAGTCACGCAACCCACTACTGACCAAAAGATCGGTAGCGCAGTGGTTGTAGAATGGAATACTGATAACATTCCCGACAATGTCACACTCAAAGGTATGTCTGTACAATTGTTATATATTATGAGCATACACATATCTCACTCTAGAGCGTTTCTTGGTAGACGACATTAGTACCCGTATCAGATGTCAAGTGGGTGGTAGGATAAGGCAGTTTCCAGCAAAAGCTATAATACCAGTAAGTATTCTGATGCTTTATGCATATTCGTAGGTTATATATTAATATTTGCACACTATAGGTGAAGTTTTCGGATGGAAAAAAGGAAGTTAATCTCCCTGATGACAATGACCTCGTTGGAGTTTCATGTAATGCATTTGTTAACGATGATACCAACCAAAAAACCGAAGGAGTTTCGCAAGCATTCAAACTAATTAATTAAATAATATCTCGGCACCCAAAATTCTATCCTCAGTTTCCTCAGTTTATCACTAAATTAAATTTATTTTTTACTAGTGACAAAACCGATAAAACTTAACTTTTCATCCCTTTTATTCTCGCGCGAGATAAACATAGTATATATTTCACATATCATGTGATTTGCAAGCCATTATATTGGGCGAAATTAGAGTTCAGGATTTAAGTTAGCGTTAGTTTTTTTATTTGATAATAAAGATTTTATTTACCGTTCATGTTTTTGAACGCTTTCGCTCAAAATTATTTACTAAATTGAAATAAAATGTTTAACGGATTAGAGATATTATATTGCTTCTATAGTCAAAACCTCGATATCGTCACCCTTAATATAGTCACAAATATATAAGAAAATTAACCAAGTAGTGATTTGACCCGTCTAAAAAACCTTCACCCGGGTCACCTGTCGGGTGGACAATAAGTCACCCGGGTGGAAATCGGGTCAACTTAAAAATGTCAC